TAAAGCCGCGAGGAACCTGCTTGTCAGTCTGATCATAATTCCGCCCAAATGCAAAGACAACGGGTTTGGTTACTCCCTTCTCATCCGGTTGTAACACAGCGGTTGCGATTCCATGGAGTGATACCTTAGATATCGGCCTCATATACGTTTTGGGGTCACAGTGTGTCAAGACCAGCGGATGGGTTGACTGGTCGAAAGTGGATTCCTCCGCCTCAAACACACCCACTGAGCGCTCTTGCCAAATAAGCAATACAAGGGATGATGCACAGTGAATGACTGCAGAGTAAGCTGTGATGTACCTATTCAGGACCGACATCAACTAATATTTCTTTCTTGAATGTCATACGTAAAAAATAGGTCTACTTTTTCTTCAGTCGTCTTCAACTCGTTTGCACTGATACACAAACCCAAATAATTACTGTGTGGTACCAAGCGCATGCATTTTCACTTTTCGGATTCAATCATTTTAACTCACACCATTACGAACAACTTGCAGTTAATAGATGTTCGTCGACTGCTACTCCGATGACTACGAAATAGTCCATGTTCACGACTATTTTAGGTGGGCCCGTAACGCCTCTTCCAGTTGCTCACTGGAAGTTGGCTTGAGTCGAGCGCATGCCACCTGGTAGACCATTGTGCCCGAATAAACCGCGATGGGTACCGATTTCCGTTATGGTTTTGACTTTTTCGCGTACTTCGGGTTGCTGAAAGGTGTGCATAATGTCTGAGGTTACCAAACACTTACTTGTGCCAAACTGAGAATAAACACCCCCAGTTTATGTTCCAGAATATTTTTCAGCTGCAATACTGGTCTTGACAGTAATTTACAGTTACCACACCTAGGAATTCAACCACCAGGCATAAATATGAAACGATTAGTGTAGTTTGAACGAAAGACCGTACCGGCGCTGTAACGCCGCTCTTCGACACGTGATCATGCGTTCGTATCATATAAGGGATTGACGAGACCCTGCTGAATCATTGTGCCTTTTTAGATGGAATATAAATATTAACTTGCCAATTAGTGAAATTTCCTTCCTTCGGGTTTTCAAAAACTGATGCCTATTGTTGGAACAATATTCATAGCTCCGACGGTAAGATAAATAAATTTTATTCAGAACTAGAAAGTGGCTGATCCATTCGCCGCCAAGTGAGGTTGGAATACCTCTACGTACGATGCATTTGGTTCCCTAATTCCATGCACCTCTAAGTGTTATCTCAAGATCCTGAACCCCAAATATTTCACTTCACTGCCCACGTTAGCAAGCAATTACGAGGACGTGTAATTCAGTTTTGTTAGTCAGGGCCAATTGTTGTGACCAAGTCCGTTTGTCTCAAAATCTTACTACACTACCCTTACTATGTTCGAAATTCACTGTAATCCGCTTTACACAAAGCTGTACACAGAACGGTGAGTGTGTGCGCTGTGCGATTATATATGGCATGTATTCCTGTGGTTGGATAGAAAAGTTGTTTTCCCCAACTAGGGAGTGTGCGTTTGCACTTGTCTGGTACGCACGGGTTAAATGCCCACAGTTTTAGCATAGCTTACAAAGTATTTGAGCATGGCTGCACTCTCTTATACGACTGTGCCGCAGGCGGCACCGATGGCAAGTGAAGTAACAATTGGTGTTTTTAGCCACTTTGTTGACTTCGGGAGGAATTCAACTGCAAACAGTAAAAGTTTTGTATTACTATCTACAGCGTCCATGCTTGTCGAAACATCATAAGCAATCTCCAACATCGATGCGTTGTCAGTCAGCAGGCAGTGTTGGCAGAATTCAAAGCTCGAGTGGACCGTGCTCTCATTTCGCTTCACCATCCCACATGACTTATTTCCCACGGATAAACACAAGAGTCTGATCACAAAAATGCGATACCTTTTTTTTACCAATGTCTCATTTATCGTCATTCCTTATGGATTACATTGGATTAACAGTTTATACCACGTATACTGCAGTGAGTCAACCGGTGTAAACCTAATTTTGCTGATAATTCCTCCATATTTTGAACATTCACCAGGATCACTTTACGGGATCTGTTAGGCTTTAGTCTTTTTATCCATATAAAACCATTGTTCCAGGCATGCGAATGTTCTTCCCTGTAGCCACCGGACGATTCCGAATCATATCGTTTCGTGGCTGCCAAAAGCATAATACTCCATCAGTTTTTGAAGCTAGATAACGAGGGAAGCGACCTAACCCCTTCATTCCGAAGACGCATCTTTAACCTAGAAAACTGTGGAATTATTGACTTTTCGAGTTGTAGGGCTTAGAGACGAGCACTACCAACTCAACGAGCTGTTTAGTACATGGCGTTATTAAAGTCACCCGACTGCAAACAACTTTACACATTTGTGAGGGACAATAATTCGGTTGGGTGTTCACCTTGCGGTTGTCACAGTTAATTTCATGGGCCAAGAAAAATTCGCTTCGAACGTTAACGAAACAGTTGTAAAGATCTGATCTCTCCATGCACTCGCCCAATTTTCCATTGAACGCCACAGTGTGCTCGACTTACTTTTGTTGTTAGTTCGAAACGACGTGTACATGAACAAGGCTGCGATGGGTGCATGGGAATAACATCGTCCCACTGTCGCTCGCTCGCGAGGCACGCTGTATTCGCATTCCATTGTTCATTCGCCTAGCATGCCGCTGTGACATGAAACGACCACTCACCTACGTGGCCGGGTAGACAGTGACATGCGGCAGTCAGTCACAATGTCAGTAATTATGATCACTAGAAAGTAACTTGAAACAGTGCCCTCTACACATCAGTTACGTGTGCCTGCATGCCAGTCGAGGGGTCAGAGAAAATGGTGCATACCTACTATGCTGTTAGATGCTAAGGTGCGGTAACTATAGTGGTTTACCGGCCTGTCTGTTTTGTACACCATGAATACGCGAATATGAACGCTAATGGATCACCGCCTCATATAACAAAGCGCACTACCGGACATTTCACGGGGAAGTCGTGCTTGTGGGTCGTGGACAACTGATGTGGTGTAAGTACCAAAGAAAAAATAGGGGGAGGGGTCAGTCTACATGGAAAATCAACAACTTCTGCAATCCAGTTCCAGGCTTTCAGGAGACGTGTGAAACTACTATGTGTAGCAAAACGATTATCGCTCTCTGCTTCACAACTGTCATTGATGTCACTGTGTCGGCATTGATACTAGTAGGGAGGGGGTATTGAATCCGGAGGGGTCCACACATTTTCTCGAGTGACGTTATTGCTGCTTTATTTGGGACGTCAAAAAAGTTTCACAATATAAACATTTAACTGTACCTGTATTTAATTCTCGAGGAAGTTGCGCGCGAAACGAAGTAACGTCCATACATTGTTGCTAACCTTTTATTTATTGTAGTCTGTTATAACTTGTAACACACGGGATAACAAATGAGGTGCAAGCTTACTGATTGTTAATGGGCCCTTATTTATTTGTAATGCCCACATACTAGAAGGTTACAATGCTTGATCTAGTAGAGATCATCTACTGTAAATGCAGTAAGCACCCGCTGTCGCTGGACATATTCGCCGCCAAATTCAAGTGTTATGAGAGGTGTTCTAACATTCGATTTGCTGCTGGTGCGCTGTTAATCTATTACGTTAGTTAGCATGGTTTAAAGCGGAATCTCCTCGGTACAAAATAGTTTGCATGTCTTGGTTACAATGACCGATGTGTGCTCCATCTACTGGTCAATCGAAAATACGTGACCCAACCGTACATTTTGATACTCACGGTTCCTTCACAGTTTGGTATTGCGTCGTTCTTTCGTTGACAATGAGACTGAAGCGGCTTTTTACATATCCTGGTGGTAATTGTGACCAAGCGCATTTGACTGAAGTAAGTTGAACTTCACATCCAGACTCAGTCAGACAACTGAAACGCGTTAGTTTATACCAAAATTGAAAATGACGTACACAGGCAGACTATTTATACCTGCTTCATGGATTAGAATCACTGCATAGAATGGCTTTTAAAGCGCATCCTCGCACACTAAACCAAGTTGAAACATGGTATTAATGTTTTTTATCAGCTCATACAAATGTGCTATCCGGAGATTGCAATGCACACGTATTAAGTGTATCGATCATCAGTCCGCCATTGTCTATGCGTTGGCAATTGGTATACATTCCTAATAAATGAAAATGCCGCCGGCCATTGGATACTTGGTTTGAGTACGCATACACTCGTCGTAAGCGCCATGAATTGAGCAATTTGTTGTCCTCCACCGTGTCATGTATTGCCACTCCAGGACGACACGTTGTGTGAACCCCTTTTATCAAGTGTTGCCCCTCGCTTATGACACGGTAGCAATCTCACTTGCTTAAGGGCACCATAGCAGTGTAAAGAGGTCACTTAGGTTAATGACGAACCGAGAATTGAAGACTCGTTTTTACATCTACCAACGAATCGTCTAGTTTGGAAGACATCCCGCTCAGTTATCCTTACTTTGAACACACGAATACGTGGTCCAATTTATAAGAAGGATTATCATCGAAAACGCGATATGCACACTTTCCCATCCCACAGAGCTTGTTAACCTTTATTTAGTTGGTCCATAACAACTCACTGTTCAGCTGCTCCAGTGTTCAGTTTCTGTATTAAGTGTGATGGAAAATCATTTGAATTAAAGGTTAAATATGTTGCACAACAAATGCCCGTAATACACAGAAATATTAACATGGTTTATTGCGCACGATTGTATCACTATTGGACCGTTTCCAGGCCAAATTTACAGGCTCATTTCTATGGCCAATTTAATTAACATTACGGTGGTAACTCTCCAAACAGTCCAGTTTGCTTGGGGGTGACTCATCTTCGCTGTAAAACATGATTCCATAACAAACAACACAATAAGCTATGCAATCTAGCCACCTAAATGGCTGTGGAGCGAGCACACTCCTAACTATATTCGCAGTAATTTGACGCCTTGCAGGCGACACCGCACGGACAAAGTTCAACACTTCTCCTTATCTTTCTTTTCATGCAGATACTTCGGGGAAGTCTGGAAAGTTCGACGTCTGCAGTGCCCTACTTATAACCATTTCCTACGTGATAGTCATTTTGACTTTTCCACTATCTTTACTTATATGCATCAAGGTGAGTTGGTCACTCATCCTCCAGGTGGGTTTTATTTGTTCCATAACTCCATAACTTACATCATTCAAGCACGATGTCGTGTGTACAGCGCTAAACGTCGGCTAAGCAATCTACTTCAAATAGAAAATGTTGAGACAATCGGGATCAACAGCGGTTCCTCCTGTGCGGACCCGCTATTTTGAGACATTACGCCCCCATGCTCAATTGGGTAACCTTAGCGTTTGTGAATCTATTTTTATTCTATGTTTTCCAATTTGGTGCACAAACGCAGGCCACCATTTTTGGGGAACGAGGAGAATTCTGAGACAGATACCTCAGTGTGCATAGATCACTCCTCTCCCCGCAGCGTTATGGACACAATGAGTGCACAGGCTGTCACTGAGAGAGTAACTATATTGCATCCAGGATCGGTTATTTTCGGGGTACGCAAAGGAGCGTGGTTTATGGTTTTCCCAATGAAAGTACTTGCCCCTGAATACTTTCTCGGACGCTTGTATTCAATCCACCTTTGCACTACCGTTACTCAGCAGTGCACTTAGCTCGATAGACGCTTACACAGAAGACTCGCATATCCTTTAATTTTGTACTTCTCACCCGAGCCATCCTACAGGACTTGTCAAGCACCTGCTACTCTAGCCATGATAAATCAGTTGGTGTCTCACTTAGTGTTTATGCGTCAGAACACCATTCTCACAGTCTATTCCTTCGACAACTTCCGGTTTCGGTAAATCCGAAAGTTGACGCCGCAGTTAATGCTGATATGGGAAGAATCAGTATTATAAAATGCCGATAGTTCTCATCCAGTGCTATGGGTTTTTGTTACAGAGGTTTGCGTCAGCCGATGGCATAGGACATCAGTTTGCATGTGACAGTTGCATGTGATGAAAAGTCATCGCTTCTAATCAAAAGTACATTATCGCATTTGCACCCCACTAAATACAAGGCGTGACTGTACTTGACGCTTCGTTTGGGTAACACCCCCCTACTCGATAAGGTAACCGAATCTGTCAAGATTGGTGTTAGTACGTGAGCGTCAGTGTTACATCGCCGACAACCAGCTCACGAACTCATGCATAGCTAGGGTCCTATCTTCGGCACATGAAATACGAGCCCAGTATGAATAGGTGAATACCAATGTTCACGCCAAATGAGTATTACCGATGCGGAATACTGGTAGTTCCGTTTTGCACTCATTTGTTGTGATACTCCCTGAACTGGGCAATTCGATTGTAAACACTTTGTCACCGGTCGAGGTGACATTATCAGTGCGGAAAGAGAGCGCTTCGGTACCAGATACTGGCAGAGGGCAAATCCGGTGAGCAACTGGACATTACTTGAATTAACCAAGGGTATGAGCTAAGCTGGAATGACGTAACGCATCGGCAGCGAAGCAACTCTCAATAGTAGAGATAAGTGACATCATAAATGCAGATTGCTGAACTTAAATAGTTCTGTGACCGCGGCCATAGAATACTGCAAAACTTTTGCATCTAGCCAAGGCTTAAAACGTATTGTCATCCCTTCCAATCCATGAACCAAGACATTTTCTGTAAAATAGTATGTTAATACTTCAATGTCTTGCTTGCTTTCCTCATAACGTCAGGCGCATTTTCACCTCTAATCGATAGGCGGTCGCTTTTTTATGCCCATAATAAGTGGGATTTTAAATTCACACAACACACTTTGTATGACGCAGTGGAAGTGGGTCATTGCTCGGAATTCGTGTGGCAAATATGTGGTGCCGTACACTTGCTGGGCTATACTCAGATACGTTTTCGTCCAGTTGCGCAACGACCAGAATTCAACTTTACTCAAATAAGCACCAATGATCACCTTGCAAAATGAATTCTGTGTTGTTTGAAATCGAAGATAACACAAAGCCGCTGTTCAGTCATTTTGATTACTGATATATACAGTTAAATCATGTTTACGTTCAACATTTACGTAGCAGGAGCTAAGGTTAGCCGGCGTTGTTTAAGATAGATACTATGAAAACCTATTTTTAACATGTTCTTTGGTGTCAATAAAAGACCACTATAATTCTCAAACCAATCGGCTGTTTGCCTATTGCACAGTCCTCGTGAAGCGTGTGAATAAGGAGGGCACAGACGACAGCGGTCAAGGAATGTGCTATTAGGGCGCAGAATGTTACTCTAAGCTTTGGATAAATGGGTTTTATAAACGAGAAAAGTGGTTGGCAACTTCGTATCATTCCGCTGGTGCCGAATTGTTTATTTAATGCTTGGCAGCAATACGCTTACCGTTCAACTACCTGAAAATGATGGTAATAATTCGAAAACTGGTAGATGCATCCGTAGCTTATTGCCCGTCAATACAATAAGCAATAAGCGATAAGCATTCCTATGGCCGAAAGTGGGTGTGGCCAAACAAGCTTGGGAATCAATATCAGTGACGGAAGTTCAGGCCCTATATATATGTTAGGTGTAAACTAGTCAATGCGGACAACTGCGAATAGAGGGGGCTACGGTGTTCAAGTGTACAAGTACTAACCAAATGATTTATAAGTATGCGAACGGGACCGGAAAGGTCAATTTTGGAACACTGCCACTCAAGATGGACAGTTGCCAAACAACCACCGTTGCGGATACTGCCAATGTCCTACATGCAGAGTATGACTCAGTGACTACAAAAACCTTACCTACATCTCTTTATCTCAACCCATTATGTCTCATTGGTTGATCCAGCGTCACGTTTAACCAAGTATCTGTCAACAGCAAACTGCAGTGCCTCCGAGAAAACAGTGCTCCTGCTATCGACAACATCTGTTGAATGGTTGTCAAAACCATTACCGCCACATTTGCAACACTTTTGGCTGCCTTCTTCCAGTATGCATTTGAATCCTATACACTCCCATTTGAGTGGGAAAATTGAATCTTCAATCTGGTATACAAAAGCGCTAAGTGACCGGATCCTGCGAAGTATCGACCTTAGCCCGGTTTTATGAAGCGGGAAATTGCAGTCGAAATGAACTGGCATTTTAAAAGACCGCGAATCATTTCCGATCTTCAACATGGTTTTCACTTGCAGATAATCTTGTCTTACTAAACAGTATTCGAGTCAAGACTAATGGAGCAGGGCTGTCGATGAAACAGTCCCTTTGGATACGATTGACTAAGACCTTTCCAATCCATTTGACAGAGTCGATCACACAATTCTGCTCCAAAATCTTAGTGGCTAGGAGATAACTAACTTCCTACCCACCTGCTTGGAACATTACCAATAAGGTAGAGCAATCACAGTAAGGATCGGCAGGAAATACTTCGACAGCCAGTAGGTCTGCAATGGATCATGCTTCGAACCATTACAGTTCCTCATGCATACCAATGATCCGGAGCAACAATTTGGTCTCCGATGCAAGTATTTGTTGATGATGTCAAGATTCGAAGATCTACTCGTTCAGCATGTGATGATACCTATAGTCGAAACGATCTGGATTGGATTTATGAGTGGACGGATCTAAGGCTGTTCTTCTTGAACCGTGCAATTGCCACCTGCTGACGGTGCGCAGCAGCTTCAATGACACCTCACTTGGAGTCGAGCCTTCCGTAGCCAATAAACTGGGCATCATTGTACAATAATATCTGGGAAATTTTCTGTAGTATTGGACAGCAGCAAATGTGGCTAATATGGACTTGCGTGTTTTGCGACGAGCTCTTGGTACTACTGAGCGGCAGCTAATAGCTTTTTTGGTCAACTCGCATATTCGTCGCTGCTTTGATTATGCGATTCAAAGCCGTTTGTCTTTTGGACTAGCCGGAAAGAAGAGCTACCGAGGAAACAATTGGATTATCCGTTCTCAATTACAAACTGCGCTTTCGTTGGATTGAATTGTTCTGCTCAGCAAATGAACGACTTCACATCATATCCTACAATAAAGGCGGATTATTGCATTGATTTTTAGCTTGTGCATGGTTGCTGGCCCTAGCAGCTTACAGACGATCCCGAGGCAACGGTATATCACTATTGACCCAACACTCTGAATCTGTTCACACTGGAATGCAATAGCAGCACACGTGGTGAATAGATGAAACCTGGGGATTTTTTTAAACTATTAGAAATTCCTCTATGTAATTACTTCTACTCAACAATGTTCAAAGTAACACATATTGAATATTGCTCTTTCCTGCTTTTTACGCCGAAGTGTTTCAATATATTCATTTGTATTTATCATTTTGTTGGTCTTATAAACTGCCGCTTTTTATCCCCTCATACGCTCTCGAATTGCAAGCGCGCGCTTTGCAGTCCTGGAGTTTTTATTCCTTATATGTTCGTCGGACGAAGTTTTCCTTGTACTAAATGGACCTACCAAACCACCCGTTTTCCAGGTGACTGCTAATGATACATAAGTACGATGGACAAATTTCCGGCACCTTTTATAGTTTGAGCAATAGACAGTGAGCGCCTTGCAAAGCACTCTATAAACTACGTAATATTCTGCTCTAGTGAACGAAACTTCAAATATAACCGAACATATGTGGTACGGTAACAAATCCACTTCTCCATAGGTGCTTTTCTTATCTTAGCCATCTGCTGCCACAGCGATCAGTGGGCTGCGCATTCTTTCTCAGCCGAATTGGCATTTTGGAGTATCCTGGACATGATAACCGAAAATTTGATCGGAATTATCAACGAACAAATCGTGTGTCTATCTAGTTCGCAAATGTAGTCAACAGTTTGATTTAGCGGAGCACTAGCAAATATGGATTCCACATCAAACGAACACATCATCATGTTTAACACCATTCATATCGTCGTCGTCGTCATCATCCTCATCATTATCATCATCATCATCATCATCATCATCATCATCATCATCATCATCATCATCATCATCATCATCATCATCATCATCATCATCATCATCATCATCATCATCATCGTCATCATCATCATCATCATCATCATCATTATCACATCATCATCATCATCATCATCATCATCATCATCATCATCATCATCATCATCATCATCATCATCATCATCATCATCATCATCATCATCATCATCATCAGCAGCAGCAGCAGCAGCAGCAGCAGCAGCATCAACACCATCAACATCCACATCATCCTCATAGTCAATAACGAAGTAAACAGCTACACAAATGCATGAACAGAAACGAAAACAGCAGCAGCACATATGGCATTCCTAACTATGGAACCACAGTGCTCCAACGAATGTAGAACATTAATGGGTCGAAAAATCGGAGCGCCACGTAAAACTCAAATGCCCTAAACACACATTTAGTAATAATGCGCCTGCAAGTTGTCAACAACATACTCACAAGCATCTGGATATCGTTTGAACCTGATGCGATATCAGTGAGAGAGCTCTGTGGCGGTTTTCACTGCTCCACGTCATAATCAGCCATTTCAAGGCGGATAAATCTACGGCAAACACTATTTGAACGTACAATTCTAACAAAAGACAGTAAATGGGCCTCTGATTCCGATTGCGAGCTATGGGTTATAACCTTTCGAGCCAAGCAAAGGTAGGCCACGCGGATTCCAGCCTGGAAAGCGAGACGAACCCAACATTATCGAACTTGATCGTCGACGAGTTTGTTTTCCGTCACCAAGTCAAATTGTGCCCACCTCGAGTCTTGGGACACCGTACATTGGACAACCATATTTGGGCCCGCCTCGGCGAGCGGTGACCGGGCATACTTAGTACGGGCCCAAGTTAACACAGCTTATTCAGTGGTATTTTTCGTTCGAATGAACTAGTCTAATTATCTCTACATATCACTCGCTTCCGCACATCAGCGTTGCTGATAAACTGGTGTCATCAGACGACACCAATGCGCAGCAGCTGAAGGGTATCAGAGTATTGTAGGCTGCTCAGATCCTCCAAATGCAGGAGTTAATTCTGATTACCACACGGTAGGAAGACCTTCACTGGGGCCTTGTAAACGCGGCCTTTCACATCTATGGTAAGTAACTTCTGGCGCCACAAACGCACAGATTCAAGAAGGTGGTTTTAACTTATGCAATAAGTGGACTGACTTTAATGTTTATGTGCCCATCGCTGTTGATGCAATTGCCAAGGTGAGTGAATCGATCAAATACTCGATTTCCTCGCTATCAAGGTCTAAGTAGTCATCAAATGGCTGATGGTCATGCAACAGCAAGTTGCAGGTTGAAAGTCAAAGAGTGTGCCAAAAAATGGGACCATTCCAGTGAGGTAATTCAGGGATGGTATCATTCAGATCCTCTACAAGTTGAAAAGATTCCTTAAGACTACAGATTGACCAGGTATCTCAGCAGGGGAATCACAAGATACAGACAGGCAATGCTAGTTGTCAGCTACGATACAACGGGTGAGTTCATCCTCTACATTATTTAATTGGCCTGCGCGTTCATGATGTATTACGGTAGGACATAACGTCTGTTCTGGTCTTACCCGAATTTGCGATGTCGCTTTGACTGATTATTTACACGACGAATAGTCTTCCCCGAATTATTTTCTACTAACTTATGTAGTTGTAACAGTTTACCAATTATGTTGACAACCGGAGCCAAGTATGCGTATCTGGGAGTAGTTCAAGTTCTTTTCGGCTGCCAGTCCCCTCGGTCATCGACCATGCATTGTTCTCTTAACGTCTAAGTTTCCCTTTTCTCACCTTAACTTCCACTAGTTTCTCCATGTCTACGGCATCCCACCTTTCTGGAGGTGTAGTGGAGTTTAAATTCCGCAACCCACACACATCGTCCCAAATATGAGGTGCGTTTATGTATTGTGTTCATGCCTGCAGATAATCCTTAACCACATCGTTGCACGCCAAGTGACCCCATTTCGATCTGTCGATATGCGGTGACAATCCGTTCGTCAACTTTCACCACAAAATGTTAAACAAACGGGCACCCTTACAGATCCTATCCTCAAAACCGATCAACTTACACTTCTCACGGGCTACAGGCCCCGACACCGTGAAAAATGATTAAACTCAGATATTGCAAATAACGGGTTCGATTAAATGGTTAATAAGAGTATGACCTAGCCGGAAATTTCGGGACTTCACTAACTACCAGATGCCTGAAAATGCACATGCTCGTAGCCGAAATGAAGCGTTCACTGGCGACCCTCACGGTCGATCGTCCTCATTCATAACCTTCAGGGTGAAACGTTCTCATTGGTTCGCCCTCATTGTCCGGACAATAAGCTTCAGACGGTGTCGGGGTCAAAGTGCTCTGATCCGCTAGCGAGAGGCTGCCATGGGCAGGCGCCCATAACACAAATGAACAAGCAAAGTTTAGGTTACAATTCACATTGTAGTAGTTCTTCGTCTTCCCTATCACTATAAGCATATTTGAAGTGGAACAACTCCTAGTGGGTTTATCACTCCAACTTTTTCGCAACACTTTCTATTACGTCACTTTCCATTATACGAGCGAAACCAGTGACCCCAAATTTTATCCTTCGCACATTTAGTTGAACATAAAGCAAAACGCAAGCCATAAATGTTCCAGGCGACTGGATTTTGTAAAGATTCTATACTTAAGTACACCGACAACGTAGATTAACATAAAGGCTATCATTGATATGTCTAGAAGGGATTTACAGTGCTTTGCAAATTATCATTGAATTTCCACCTCTGTGCCCTATTGCAACATCACAGGTGGTTGCGGAATACGAGCGGGTGGTGGTTTTTCGCCTCGGACGCATTCTCCCCCGGGGGGCTCGTGGACCCGGTTTGTTTTTCGTTGCCCCTTGCATCGACAGCATCCGAAAAGTTGACCTACGAACGGTCACTTTCGACGTGCCACCCCAAGAGGTGAGTCAATGGCGCATAGATCAAAGTGTATTGTATACGGTAGATGCCCAATCGCTCACCGCTTTGCGTGTGTATGTGGGACAGGAGCAGTTTACAGTTATAACTCCTCTGTATTTTCATACCGTTTCAATATTGTGTGCTGCAGTCCACGTTACACCAAGTACAGTTCATTGCAGTGACCTCATTTTCACTTATAAGGATTTTCGGTCGTTTAAGACGCCACGATGGAAAAAGCTATCTCATTATAGCCAAGGGAGTTAGTTGCCGTGCAAATAGGAATGTAGGCGTCTGTTTCAAATGATGCTGCTGGCTTAAGCTCCGGCCAAGTGGCTCAGCGACCACAAAACATTGCTTATGGCTCATCAGAATTAAGCGTTCACACCCGATTTAATAATTGGATTAGTGTAACTGTCTTAATATCCCAGTGGATAAGCTCACAAACCATTAAAACTTTCTCATTAATTAGTTCCGCATCTGGTTGGCATGGTGTCCCTTGGCTGGACGCAGTCTAGTCTGTCGAAATTGATTTGATCGGTGGTTAAAGTTGGAAAGGCGAATAAGTGGTACCAAGGATAATTCGCCGTCGCATCATAACTGCTTATCCCATGAGGATTACTATTATCCGGTAGCTCTGCCAGCTTGTTACAACAAGTTCAGTACATAAGTGAAATAATCCCATCAATACGCTGTTAAGAAAAAGGTAAAATCATTCGTTGCGGCCAATTCATAGACAAGCGTGGGCACACATCCGGAGAGAAGTTCCGTTCTATCAGGCCATGTGGGTAGCATTTATCCTTAGCTCTGCAATAAAATCGAAACTATGACCTCTCAAACCGACGAATTTTGCCCCTAGTGATTACGGTAGACTGGTAGCCAGGTGCAGGGTAAGCACGGCTTATCCTCCGAAAGTGCAAGTGAACGTGTGGCGCTTTGATTGTGCTAAGGAGTAATTACTTGAGCGACGGCTGTTCTGTGTGAATTCTTCGAAGGGTGGCTACAGTTTGCATGTTGGAACCTCGTTGCGGATCTACACGATTCCTTGCAAAAGACCGTTTACACATTTGTCATCTTTATGTGTGACTCATTTCAAGCTGTAATGAGTGTCAGGCGTGTTTCGAATGGACTACCTCTAACCAGTTCTTGTCCCTCATACCTGCATACTGTGATGCAAGCAAAAAATGAGGATCCATCTTACCCTTATCTGTTTCCGACCCGAATAGTCCCACTAGGAATCGCAATCTTGTTTCTTCTATTTCATCTCCGGAACCACTGCCTATTGGCCAGTAGTACAATGAAAGCAAGGAAGGCACTGGTGCAGTTGTAGCGGGCAGCAGTGTAACTCCGCCACACACTGTCGAATAGCCATCCAAGTATCAAGAACAAAGTCTGGGCGCCGATCAAAATCAGTATTAAGGGGGATCGTGATTTTAAAATGCCGCATACGCTATTCTGTTGTCGTCCGCTTATTGGCTGCCTTTTTTAACGGACGTGTTGACGTTAGCTCAACCTAGTTGGTTCTTGCTGTTTCTTCAGTTGAACTGATTGGCATTTGCTGAACCCATAGACACGTTTGGCCAGTTGTTTTACTACCGAACGTATACTCGTTGAAACGTTCTACGGCGTAAACCTGCGCCAGCATTGCATCCGTAGGCGTGCGATTGAGCAAATTGACAGGTTTGACGCTTTGCATAAGCACAGCTCCGATGCTGTACTGCCTACTGTCACACTGAAACTCGAGTAGAAGCGACGGATCAAATTAGGCAAGGACAGGCGCTTTTGTAATTAATTCCTTGCTCTTCCGAAAGGCATTTTCTTGTTCAGAGCCCGTGCCAAGCATCATCACATCAGCCAATCACGAAAGAAAACGACCCAATTAGTTGAGCATTCCGTTCAGCATGCTAACTAACTTCGTATCAGTGGGGTCTCATCTCGTTTATGACCCTGATTTTCTCTGGATCCAGTCTCAATCTTGTCGAAATCAGCACGTTTCCATAAAATGCCACCTCGGTTTTGCATTGCTCGCCTTTCCCACTTTTGTTTGACATTTCTTTCACTACAGCATTGTAGAAACTGGTGAAGTTGACGATCGTGTTGCTCTCGAGTAACACCAAAAACTATCACCTCTTCTGCTACACAAAACACTCAGGGCAGATCGTCCAATGTTTGCAGCAGCTCGCTGGTTACCTTCAAACCGAAGGGCAAGCGAAGCCATCTAATATGTCCAAAAGGCGTTCCAAATGTAGTCAGACAGCTCGACTCGTTGTCAAGTGCTACATGTCAGAAGACTGAAGCGAGACCGATTTTCGTGAATCTCTTTGCCTTTGATAACTCCGGTAGCATATCGTTTAGTGCCGCTAGGGATTCATTTTCTCTTCTGAGCGAGGCATTGAGCGGTTTTGTGCCAATACACACACGCAAATCACCGGATTTGTTAGTAGCGATTGCCATTTGGCTTACACAATCTATCGGCTCATCGACCTTGGCTATGACGCCCAAACTGGACAAACGCTGCAGTTCTTTTAATATCCTTTCGCGCAATGCTATGGGTACCTTTTTAACTGGCAGAGTTACTGGCATATCGAATCCGTTTAAGGACAAAGGAGCGTATCCCTCGACTTTCCAAATAGCCTCAACAAACACTGTAGGGTACAACTCGACTATATTTGCTACAGCCTGACAAGAGTAAACAAAATGAGCATGATTAAAAGAAACCAAACAAAGGCGCTGAATGGAATCAATGTCCAAAAATGCGCATAAGATCTGTTGACACAAGCAGGAATTCAAGATGGTGTTCCGTTCCGTCCTTCGGGTTAACAGCGGTCACGATGGCGTTCCATTTCGGTGGTAGTCTTGAGACGTCCCACAGTTTGAGACAACTTGGTGCTTCACTGCATTTTACTCCGGCACAATGTCTCTCGGATAATATGCTTACTGTGGTTTCCGAATCCAACTGAAAACGAAATGGAAGTCCTTGGATTAACAGTGTAGCGAAAATGCACTTCTGCCCTCCAAAATGCTCCAGTGTCTCGTGTCGACATTTCTTGCCTACCGCGCTGATGTTGGCCGATCTGCAACAGCGAGCACAATGGTTTTTCTTTGTACACTTCATACAGGTGTTGCCCAACGCTGGGCAACTCTCCTTTCGCTTTGGATGCTTGCGACCACATAACCGACAACTGGGCTCCTGCCCCTCGGATGGTAGGGATTGAGCTTCTTTGATCTTCGATACTGCACAATGTCCTTTGTCCTACCCACCCGCAAATTCTGGAACTACTGTGATGTTCTTGTTTCGCTAAGGCAGTTGTCCATACACTGTTTCAGGAGTAGGTTTCTCTGCCTCAGAAGGCGTCCAAGTCATCATTTCCGATGCGGATTACGATACAGTCGCGTACCAAAGAGTTCGGCATACAGTCACAAAAGTTGCACTTTCGCCTCCAGAACCATCAATTCTGTAATGTAAGTCTCAACTGCCTCATCCGGTAGCTGACTACAATCAAAAATGCAGATATCTCTGGTACGTTTCATTTGTTTTTCCTCCGCGGTATTCGCCAATCTTTTGATTACCTCCGAGATATCCGGTTCCCTTTATCCGCTTCAATGAGGGTCGAAAGTCTCAAGTACTCGCCTGGCTTCGTCGCCGACAGCCTGTCTGAACATAGCAAGCTGGTAAGACATCGGATGGGAATCCAACTGAGTCAGCTTTACGAAATCCGTTCACTTCACCTTCCACATCGTTCAGTTGTCAGATAAACTACTTTCCGTCATTTGCAGAACAGTCGGCAGTGGAATCGACTTCTGTCCACCAAAAGCAAGTCGGTTCCGGTGCGTCAATTTCTCCTCCTCAGTCACCATGTTTACTACCCCCCCGGGAAATCAAGAACAAAGTCTGGGCAGCGATTAGAAATTGTATTAAGGGTAATCGTGGTTTTTAGTACACTACATAGGGAATTCTTCTGTCGTCCGCTTATTGCTCTCCTCTGTTACCTGAAGTGTGACGTCAGCTCCATCCAATTGGTTCGTGCTCGTTCTTCACTTGAACCGATTGACATTTACTGTATCCAAGGTTAATTCTAGCCGCGGTGTTGTCATCGCCGATAGACTGCGTGGTGGTGTCTGATTGCCCATTGGTCAATTATGTTGATACTTCTCCGACTGACAAGCTGCCACAGCGGTGCGTGTCGTTAACCTGGAATCCGGCTTGAGCTGCCCACTAGGTATACGGCGGATAAAATCCGCTTCTTGGATGTCGCAAATCACGCTGTTCTTCTTGTGTGCCGAGCCGGACCAGTCGTGCGAATGTCACTTTCGTCTGATTTGCCCCCGGTCCATCGTTACCGCGACGATTCCCTTCTCCTCAGGTTTCAGCCACCGTCACACCCATGAGCCCGAGTACTACGTTAAACGATGTGAAGGCGAATAAGGCCGCAAAATCTAAGTCTAAGCTGGACTCTTTTTAATCCCAGATAAACCATGTTCGCGATAAAGTGAGTCAGTTAGAAAAAATGATTAAGACAAGTCGTTGCCCGCAAAAACCGTATCTCCTTGAGGGAAATAAATTTACCGAACGGCAAACACCATTAAGTCTGATAATAAACCCTCAGCCGAGAGGATACTAGAGACTCAAAACTTCCTGAAGGGGATGGTTTGTCTACTGTTTGTTGCTGGGGAACAGGATGTAAACTTCGTTTCTGCCTTTTATCTCGGCATGAAGCATGATGACTCCTCGAAAGTTCGTCTTCTAAAGGCAGGCTGACAAGACGAAGAGGTATGCTGCTGTATCCTTAGACGGGCCTAACATCTGAAAGGAGATTCATTCCATGTTTTGAGAGACATCTCTCTAGAAGGACCGAATTAAAATGTGACATGCTGTTGATGACTTACGAACCCGCCAAGCAGACGGTGGACATAGTCTTCGCATTGTGGATTTTCGATTGGTGCAACGAGTCTCGAGGGCTCGCTGGAGACCATTATTTGTCCTACCCCTGAACTGAGAATCAGTT